TAAGAGACAGCGCCACAGCCCTCCCGCGTGGCCGTGGAATGGAAAACCCCAGCCCAGCCTTTCCTAAGTCACTGCCTCGGAGAGTTTGAGTCCTCAGGCAGCCCTGGGAGAGGAGACTTTGTAGGTCAAAGCTTTTCTGGCTGGAGATGCCTTTTCCTCTTGCTCCGTGGCATCGACAGGGATTAAAGTCACGCGTGAGGCAGGGGTTGCGGGTGGGGAGTTCCCCGGCAGCCTTTGTGGGTGCTCTGCTTCTCCAGAGAACCCCCGAGCTAAAGCGCAGGGAGCAAAGGGAGTGCGGCGGCTGTAGCAAGCAAAGCTCCTTCTAAATAGGATTTTTTTTTTCTTCTGCAGCCCCAGCAGCTCTCTAATCTGGAGCTGATGGATTTGACGCTAATGGCACCTTTGTAATTGAAGTGTCTGTTTTGTGATGCAGGAGGAGGTCTTGAGGCAGGCTGGAGAGCGGGAGGTTCAGTTTGTGTTCACGTGTGTGGCCGGGGCACCCCTCCTTCAGTGAGCACAGCCTGGGTGGGTGGGGGTCCCGCGGCCAGCCCTCACAGACGTTATTCGGGGGTCGTTCTGTAACGTGAGGGCTGTCGGGTGGATCGGGCGTGGAGGCAGTTCATCGCCACGCGGTCTGCGTGTAGTCGCAGGATTTCCAGATGCTAAACCAGAGGCCCAGAGGCATTCAAGCCAAGCCGTGCGTGGCCAGGGAGCGGGGGGGGGTGTGCGGAAAGCTGAGCCGGTGTTCCCCTCTGCCGTGGCCGTTCAATAAATTCCACAGTTCACTGACAGAGCACTGTTGGCGGTGGATGTGCTGCGTGTGTAACACACTCTGGGTTTTGTTTACTAATACAGTTTGACAGTGGCCCTCTGGGACGGGTGGGATCCACTTCCACCACCTCTATGTGTGTCGCAAAACAGCTGGGAACGGATGACAAAAGTTAAACTTTTCTTTCAAAAGGCTTTTTGCAGAACTTTGCCACCGTTTGGCGAGTTGCACAAGTACAAACAGCCCTCTCCTGCCGGCTTGGCACTCACATGACTCAGAGGAAGCTCAGCTGTAAACAAACGCGCTGCGATGAGCAGTTACCATGTTCCCACTCACTTTTGGTGCAACGGTCAGATAATTGCCTTTGCAAAATGGCCGCTGGGCATGCCTTGTTCGGGGAGCTGTGCTGGGGAGGTGTCGTCTCCTGACTCCAGCATGCTCTCACCTATTGCCTGTGATACTCTGAGGCTTTTGCTATTCTAGTGCAGCACTCATTTGCTGGCTGGCCCTGCATCTGCAGTGGGTATAAATTGGTGGAGTTCAGGCAAGTTCAGTGGTAATTTATGCTGTCTTCACTCCTAGTCTCCTTGGATTCAAAGTGCTGCTCCAGGGGTGCTGTGTGAGTCTGAACAGTATGCGTGCACCCTGAGGACATTGCTCCTCCCTGTAAGAGCACTGTGGGGAGAGATGTTCTGCACAGCCAAGGCTAGCTAGATGGCCTGGTGACAAGACAGCAGGAGCTGGGTTCACTTGGGTCTGTGCCTGGGTGCTCCTGGCATCCATCTGTCCTACCCAGGACCTTTCCTACGTGAGCACAAGCCGTGCTCGCTGCTTATGACAGCCAGATAGGGAGCAGGAGGTCTGGTGTGTTGGGTCACCAGCAGGAGGGAGAGGAAGGCCGCTGTGAAACGTGGACAGCTTGGGACTGGTGGGATGCTGATATTTTGGGACCGCTTTACTGGGCTCATGCTGCTTTGGGGCTGTTGTGGCTAGTGGGGGCGGCAGAGAGGGTTTGCTGTGCATGCTGTCCTGCTGGCCCTGGTAGACCCGGAGTTTGTCTGGGGGGAAGGAATGTGATCCAGGACAGTGAGCAGGAAATTGTTGGGGATACAGCTGCCTTCGATGCAGCACACAGAGATCAGAGCTTGTACCATACTCAGGGGCATCATAAGAAAGCTGTTTATTTTGCATCCCCTCCATCCCTGGGGAACCGGGCAGTTTGTGGGTAGCCTGTGGATTGCCTATCCCACTTGCAGTGATTCCACTCCCGTTTCTCAGGGACCCGGGTTAGGCTTTCTTGTGGCTTGCCCGGTGTAGTTTGCAGCTCTTGCAGTGCCATGAGCTCTGCTGTGCTTCCAGGCACAGCTGCAGTGGGTGCCAGCAGGAATGGCCATGCCAGCCCAGCCCTCTGGCAGCTGGAGCAGTGCCATGGCTGATCAGAGGGGGAGGTTTACAGGCTGAAGAAAGCAACTTGGAGTGTCTCCGGGTGAAGGCTGGCCCTCAGCCTCCGGGGATGCAGGTGCTGGCGTTTTGGGAGAAGCCAGGTACTACCAGGGAGACATTTCAGAGTTTGCAGTCTCACATTGGGCTGAGCAGTGGATCACGGTCCTTCCCAGGTAGAAGAGTATTGTTGAGCTTTGTAGTACGCTGATTGCCCTTGTAGTTGCTTGGGAAGGATTAGAAGACATCAGCTTTAAAAAAAAAAAGCCATTCCTTCCTTTTTCCTGGTGCTAAGTGTCTGTCTCTGTTCAGTATAGTGAGGTGGTGTGTGGGGAATAAGCAGGCATCTGGCTCTACTCGCTGTGTTCATGGTTGGATTTCCACTTCCACTTCCTCTTCCGATTTATTTGTTTTATCGAGCCCCTTTCCCTTTCCTTTCTGGCTCAAGGGCAGAGTGCCCCCACGGCTGCTCTAGCACCGTGGACTCCCTGTGTTGGCAGCAACTGCAGCTCACGCAGCTGGGAGGTGGTGCCAGTACAGCTTGGGCAGCAATGGGCAGGGGATTGAGCAGCACCCAGGGTCCCATTTGAGCAACTGAAGAGGCCAGAGTTTCCAACTCTTCCAGGCTGAGCTTAATTCTGCTGAGCGCCCAGGTCTCCTTGCATTCACCTCACCTGGTCCCTGCAGCCACATCCTCCCTCTGACTTGGTCACTATGGGCCTCTCTTGGCACCCTGGTAGGATGTCCGTGAGATCTGCCTCCTGCAAAGCTCCTGTTTTTGCATTCAGTGGGAGGACACAGTGGCCTGGTCACCTGCCAAGCGTGGCCAGGCAGTGGGTGCGGGGTTGCCCTGTTCCCACTCACATCCAGGCGGTGTTGCCTTTTGTCCAGGGTCAGGGCTGAGCTGCAGCTCAGGCTCCTTCTCAAGCAGCAGAGCCTTAATTGGCTTTTCTGTTGCACCGATTTCCCCTGGCACTTGTGACACTGGCTGAAGACCAGGTGGCATCAGCAGCTTTGGTTATATATGTGGCCCTGGCACCCCGTGCCACCAAAGGGATGGGTGTGCAGGCCTCTCGCCCACCTGGGTTGGGGCTGCTGCAGATCCTGGTTCCCAATGGGAGACCGTTCCTTGTGGGCAGTGAACATTGTGGTGGGCAGAGGGGTTCTTGCCACACTTGGAAAGGGGAAGGTGGAGAGGAGAAGACACAGTGTTTTATGCACAGGGGCCTGCAGTGATGGAGTGCTTCTTCCACCCAGGTCACGACTTTCATGCCAGCTATATCAGGGATCAGTGGGCTGCTTGGGGGGACAGCAGGGACCTTCTCTGCCCTCTCTGCTGATGGCACAGTCCCAGATATGAGGCCACTTGGAAAACAGGAGCACAGAGCAGATTTAATCAGCTTATGGTATCTGGCTGTGCCCACACCTCAGCCTGTGCTTCCCGTTTGCTGTTATCCCCCTTTCTTATCACGATCCTTCCTGTGTCTGAATGATAGGGCCTGTGGGTGTTGACATCAGACCTCACCCAGGACAGAGGGTAGCATGGTGATGGGAGTATCACTGCCTTGGAAGTGTCTGTGTCTGTCAGACCTTTCCTTGATTCACAGACATGCGTGGGCCTGTTCAGAGCTGGTCTCTGGGGTCACAGACCCTCTTCCTGCTGTATGGACATTACTGAAATCTGGCAGGTCCTGCCTGTGAGTGCTGAGGGCTCTCAGATCGCAGCCTGCTGGGTGCAGGGTTTGGGTACTGTGTTATTAAATGCAGACAGAGAAATGCAGCTCTTGTGGGGAAGAGCCTTGCCAGCCCAGCTATTGCATGCTCCCTCTGAGGTTTGGGAGCTGCCAGACTCTAAAGCAGCAATTGCTTCCCCCACCCAGGTCTGGATTATTGTTTGTTTGCAGACATTGCTCCTCGCTACCACCTGGTCTGGCCGATAGTTTACCCCTGTTCAGCCAGGAAACCATAAACCCTGCTGTGAGCGGCTAGCACCAGCTCTCCAGCTCCCCACTGGGGCAAGCACAGCCCCTTCACCTTTCCAGGGCCTGCCAGCCTGGGTGTTTGGGCCAGGCCAGAATAGTTTTCCATCCCATCAGTGAAATGAGCTGACTTGCCATTGTTCATCCTGTCCCTGGATGGGATACAGGAGTGCGTGTGTGATGGTAGGACTGTGGCTACTGTGGTCATGCAGGGTTTGCTACAATCTACCTTTTTTTTTTTTTTTTTTTTTAGTAGCTTGGGTAACCCTAATCACTGTCTTGCGGGAAGGGTCTTGGGTGGTGTGGCAGCGCCTGTCTGCAGCCCTGGGCCTCGCACCCTAGCTTGTAGACCTGCAGGCTAGGCTGCCCCTGGGGAGGGGGTTGAATGGGTGTTGATGGGGGCTTTTCCTCCAATCAGAAGCAAATCCAAACCAATTCTCTAACATTCTATCAAGTCTGATCTGCAACTGAATTAAAACATCGCTTTCTAGCCCTAACTCAGTTAAAGCCTGGCAGAAAACGGAGGTCAGCTTCGCCTTCACCTGTCCTGCGACAGCCCAGTCTTGTGTGCCCCCGAAGCTCCTGCTGCCTCTGCTCCTCCCAGACCAGGGCTGGGTGTCTGCCTTCCTGGCCAGCCTGTGCTCCTGATGTTCCCTCCCTGCAACCCCACTTGTCCTCTTACATGCCTTTGGCATTTACCAGATTATTACTGGTCTGAACTGGAAGCTAACCACAATGATGTCAGTCATAACCGTACCCCGCCTGTCACTGAACTGGAAATGCTCTGGTGTATAAGGTGGGCTGCCTGTTGCAACCCCAGCCCTGGGGGTCTCCCAGTCCCAGTGCAAATATGGTGACTGTGATCATGTCCTGTAAAGGACATGTATCTAACCGGTTCCCACTGGGCTTCTCCTGCTGGGTTTGGATTTGGTTTCCCTTCTCTCTGTGCAAGCAGTGGTTGTGGAGCATTGCTGTGAGTTGTGAAACGCCTGCTGGGGTCTGCTCCAGCAGTGGCCCCTTCTCAGCTGTGAGCACGGTGATCCCAAATACATGTGATTGCCGCCTGCTCTGGTGCAAGCAGGTGGCAGGCGCAGGGGTCCCTGCTTGGGGACATGGGAGCAGCTGTGCACAGCACTCTCCTGTGCAGGCAGGGGGGGCTGTGAGCACAGTCCAGCCCCCATAGGGCCTGTTTTGGATCATTTTGAGGTCTTGCAAAGCCCTGATATTGTGTGCAGGGATGAGGTGGGTGCCCAGTTTGTGTGCTGGTGGTAACATCGTCTTCCTTTTTTTTATTTTTTTTTTCCCCCACAGACTGCTCTCAGTGCTTTTTTCCAAGAAACAAACATCCCTTACAGCCACCACCATCAGATGGTAAGTGCTTTCTCACCTCTCTAGTGCTCGCCTGGGGCACAGCACCAGCTGGCAGGTGCGTCGGTCTGTTGCTGATGCCCAGCTCGCTGCTTCACAGCTCCAGGAGGGTAGGCAGGGAGGTCTGGCCCAGCACTGCCAGAGCTGCCTGCCAAGGAAGATTTTCCTGGAGAGCAGCCAGGGGTGGCATAGCCTGTCCTATGCAGTGGGACAGCGGGTCTGGGACTGCCCTCAGAACCCTGCAGAGGGGTTGGGGATGGACCGATGGAGGATGCTTTGGCCATGGCCAGTAGTCCAGGTCAGCCCCAGCATGGCAGAGAGAGGCTCAGGGAGCCTGGAGCACCAGCCTGGTGTAGGCTGTGTGAACACACGTGCAGATATGTGCATACCCCACAGCCCAGCTGCACACGTGAGTGAGTCCTTGTGTGCTCGCTGGAGTGACTGAGCATGCAAACCCCTGGCACCTCACTGGAGTGTGCCTCTAGTATGGTGTGTACAGTGTCTGGGTGTGTGTAAACTAGAGAGCGTGCACGTGCGTGGGTGCTGCCTGCCTCTGCTCTCTTCCAGCTGTCCCTAGACTTGGTCCCTTAACTCTCATGGCCTGGCAGCCTGTAATCTGCTTGGACAGATGTGTCTTAGGGATTTGCTGGGTGCCGTGGCCTCATTTGACTCTCCAGGACAGTTGGGGATTTTGGAGCATGCAGTCAGCATGTGGAGCGAGTGCCTGGCAGGGCCTGAGCATGCCCAGTCTGTCGTGGGGTGGGAGCTGAGCCTCAGCCTTGCACCTGCTGAGCCAGAAAGCAGCACGCCAAGGGTGGCACCAGCAGGTCGTGGGGTAGAGGGAGTCCCCAACTTGCCTGGGCCCGGGAGCAGGTGCAGTGGGGTCCTGTCTGGGCCCTCTGACAGGAGCTCTCACCACAGCATTAGCCTTCAGAGCCTTAAATAACTGCTGCTTGCAGGCAGCATCGTCAGCAGAGCGCAGGTCCAGAGCTCCCTGTGCCACAGCAGTGGGGGCAGAGGGGTCTTGTGCTGGGCCCTGGTGGGAGGCAGAAGGTGGAGACCCCCCCTCCACGCCTGACCCCGTGTCTCCTTCCTGCAGATGTGCACTCCCGCCAACACGCCGGCCACACCGCCCAACTTCCCCGACGCCCTCACCATGTTCTCCCGCCTCAAGGCCTCCGAGAGCTTCAACAGCAGTAGCCCTGTGGCCTCCATGGCAACTTCCCCGCCGCCCCCGGCCCCGCCACTGCCTCAGCATGGGGCCTTCAACCCCACCTGGCCCGCAGCTTCGCCCCCCGGCCAGCAGCAGAGCATGTGGACTCCGGCCCCCCCGGCACAGCCCGCGGGCTGGCCAGCCGCCGTCTCCCAGCAGGCCACGGCAGAACAGAAGGCCAACGTGACCATGGAAGCAGAGAGATGAGGCTGTGGCAGAGAGCGAATGCAGCAGGGACCCCTGCGTATAAATATATATATATTTTTTTTTCCCCCTCCCTGAAGAGGAGAGGAACTCTGCTGCCAGGGCGTCTGGCAGCTGCTGAGACACATGAGCAAATAGCTGCCTTGCATGGGTTTGGTTTGAAGTAGTTTTTACTTGTCCTCGAGCTGAACAGAGCTCCCCAGAGACAGCGGGAGGCTGCGTGGGATGCAGGACTGGTGCTGGCCTCTGCCTGGGACCCTGCCGCTGCTGGGCTCTCGGAGAGGGAGACCCCCTCCTCTCTTGGGACACCGGAGTTTGCATGCGAGTGACATTTACAGAGGAGGTCCCTTCTTCACGGTCCCTGGGCCACCCCACCTGGCAGAGTGGGTTGTGCCTCAGTGTTTCCCCCCATCCCTTGGCCCCACTTGACTGGGTGGGGGGAAGACATCCTACACGGCTTGTTTTTTGTAAGGGAGGGGAGAGAGCAAGGGCTGTTCCTGCTCAGCCACAGCCTCCACCCTGCATGCGCCATGCTTGCTGGTGAGCAGGGCTGGGGATACCGGCTTCGGGAGATGTGCCTGGCCCCTCGCCCAGCCCTGGCGATGGGGGAGCAGGGTGTGAGCCAGCGGTGGGCCAGCACACTCTCCCCTCACCCTCCCGGGATGGGGTTTGCCCCGGGGCTGTTTGCATGACACAGTGTATTCCTAGAGACTGGGATCGTTTTTAACTCCTCTGTTCTTTTCTCCCGGCGGCTGGAAGTCTCTCCGGATGTGCCGCAGACGCTTGCAATAACATGCTCTTCTGCTTTGAACCCAGTGTCTTTGCTTCGTTTGCAGCAGTGGTGGGACACGGGGAAGGCTGGCCTGGGGCCGAGGTGTTTCAGGATTCCCTCTCCACGTGGCTCTGTGCGTGTGGTGTCTCTGAGCTGGGGCTGGATGTAGATGTGCTGCTCCAAACACCCTGTCCCCACCGTGTGGTGACTGCCAGGTGTGGGCCAGGGTTCAGCCCCAGAAGAAGCCAGCCTGGCCCTACCTGCTGCCCCACCACATCAGCAGTGGGTGTGAGACCCACCAGGAGCCAGGGTCAGGCCGGTGACAGGGCTGCAGTGAGACCTTGAGCTCCCTGCATGACACCCACAGGTCCTGGGTGTCTTGCTGTGACCTGGCTCCTATCCCCTCTTCACCAGATGACAGGGGCCCAGTCCCTTGGAGTTTGCCATCACTGCCGAGTCCTGTCCTCTCCCTGTGAGGCTGTGTCCCTGCATCTCTGTGCTCACCAGTCAATAATTAATTTCAATCTCTTATTTGTTTTGCTAAAATAAACATTGTAGGAGTGATGGTTTTGCCCAGGCTGCCTCTTGTACAACCTCAGCAGAGCTGGGAGCAAGGGCTGAATCTGGTGCTGGCCCTTGGGAGCTTCCCTGTGAGGGGTTGTGCCGGAGCTGTGTGCCTCAGTCCTGCCCCATTGAGGTGGACTGGGCCAAGCTGGTGGCATCTAGAGCAAGCCAGGGCTGTGGGCCTCGTGTCCCAGCTGTGGTGGCCTGAGGGCATTGAGACCAGTGTGGAGTCCTGCTGGGAGTGGGGACAGTCTGTGTGCAGCACAGAGCCTGCCCAGGGGAGACCGAGAAGGGATCTGTCCCCAGCTGTGGAGGGAGGCACTGCCTGTGAAACGTGTGAAGCTGCATGGAGACCTGGGTGCTGGGGAGGGGAACCTGCCTGTGACTGTCCCACGGCCACCAGGAGCCATAGGGTTGGAGAATCCAGGGCCCAACCACAGACCTGAACATCGGACTGGTCAGAGATTGCTCACATGGACATGGCACAGCCCAAAAGCATCAGGCTGTGGTCACTGAGTCCCCAGGGACATCCCTTATGTCCCCATGAGCCCAGAGATTGCTCAGGAGAGGCAATGAAGGAGGGAGCATCTTTATGGCCCACAGTGTTACACTGCTGCAATGAGTGGCTGCTAGGGCAGTGTTGTCCTCTGAGGCCAGGCAGCGCAGCCCTGGCATGCCTGTTCCCTCCCCAGATCCCCACACCATTTCCTGGCCCCCTGGCGGCTCAGACCCTTGCTGTCCTGCTGCCACTGGTGCCAGCCTGCCACCGGCCCCCCAAGATGCTCATCTTCCTCTGAATGGCAGCACCTGCAATGCAGAAGGACAGAGCCTTGCATGGGGCACGACACCCACAGCAGCACACCCGGGGGTCTCCTCGGGAGCGCTTGGCAGCAGGCTGAGCCCACATGGCAGGGCCAGTGGCCCAGGGGACACCAGGGACAGGTGCTCACGTGAGTACGGGGACACGTAGTGGCTGCCATACTTGGGGATGCGGCACATCTCTGTGCTGGGCTGGCAGTGGGGCTTGGGGGGGTTTGTTGCTTCAGGGTGAGAAACGGAGACACTGTTAGCACAGGGAGGTGCGAAGGTGCTGGTGGCTCAGCCCCGGTGGGACACAGCCATCCCAGGCACTGACGGTGGGACACGCCAGTTCAGGTGGCTGCACAGCCTGGCCAGAGCTAACTCAGTGCCCCGGGGCTGCTGCCCTACCTGGGAAGTCCTTGTCCATGGTGACAGTCCTGTTGGCAGCTGATGAGCCCAGCCTGCCCTTATAGATGACCCTGTCGATGCCCAAAATATCCACTTCTCTCTAGAAGGAAGAGCAGCCAGTGAGTTGGAGGTGCCCCGAGGCTGCACCTAGCCCGCAGTGCTCCCACCGTCCCAACCCAGGTGGGCTCAAGCAGGTTTCCAGAGCATGGGGACATGCAGGGATAAGAGCTTACATTCTGGCAGACAAAGTCTGCAGGGTGTCCACAGGAACAGAGGGTGACAAGGGAGCTGGAGGTGGACAGTGGCCTGGCAGGACTCACAGGACCCCGGCTGGCTCTACGACACCCTTCGCTCTCCCTGGGCAGGGAGCACGGATGTTACCCCTCCTTCCCAGGGAGAGGGACCCCAAAGGGAGAGGGAGGGACGCGGTGATGCCTGGCAAGCCTCACCTCCCCAGCAGCCACTGTGCCAGGCAGCTGGAGCTGCCGGCGCTGGCTGGCTGGGGCTGGAGGAGCTGGCTGTCCTTTTGGATGGTCACCAAGTGCCTGCAGATGAGGATGTGAAGGGGCAGCGGTCTCTAGTGGAAATGAGTGTGGGGGTCTGGCTGGGAGGGGGCTGCACATTACTCACGATGCCGTGGCTGTGGCCAGGGGTCTGTCGCAGGAGATGCACTTCATTGGATCAAAGAGTTGCCTGTAGTGGGGGGGGAAGGCTGCTGAGTGCCCCGTCAGCACCCCAGGGACTGTGCGAGGTTCCATGGGTGGCTGGCACTCCATGGGCAGGGTGGGACTCCAGGGTCTGGATGGGACAGGCAGGGCAGGATGGGACAGCATGGGAGGGGATGGGGCAGTACAGGAGAGGACAGAGGGGGCAGGCACCTGGCAGGACCCAGCAGCCCTCACCTCTTGAAGCCAGCAGCACGGCTGGCACCACAGCAGGGTCCCTGGCAGAGGCACTGCTGGATGAGCCTCCACACCTGCTCCAGCTGCACCTGCAGGGGAGCCAGCACCGCATGGTCCAGCTGCAGGAAGGGCAGGGGATCTCCTTGGGACACCAGGCCCATTTTGAGGGGTGCTGTTGCCCCTGAGGGAAACTGGCGCAAGGACGATCATCTCTTGGCATTGACAGATTCAGGGCTCGCCCTCCCCACACAGGGATGTACTCCCTGGCCTGGTGCATCCATTCATCCTCACAACCCTCCTTGGGTGACACTGCTACCTTGGAGTCCATCTCCCTGAGGAAGTTCTCCAGGGTTTTCTGCCTGTCCTGCTCCATCAGGAGCACCCTCTGCAGCAGGTCCTGCATCATCTCACTCAGCTGGACCATGGCATATTGCTGCTCCTCCTGCCTCGCTTTGGTCTCCAGTGCAGCCGTGTCTGCCTTCTGAGGGGGGGCATGGTGTCAGCCATCCCCTGTGGACCCCCAGCCCTGCCACCATCCCCACATGCCTTTTCTTGCTCACAACACCCAAGCCCTGCTCCAGCAGCACCTTGTTCATGTCCGGGTGCTCCACCGTCCCCTGCAGGCTCCACACCTGCCATGTGTCCCCAGCCACCCAGTCTCCCCTAGGCCTCACTCGGATCCGCCCACCATTGTTGGTCCCCAGCTCCATCAGCATGGTGTAGCCACAGCATCCTGGCATGCTGAGCCGCTTTGGAGTGGGGATGCACCAGGTCTGGGCAAGCCTGTACCCAGCCTTGTTCAGATGCCAACCATGGCTCCTGAGCTGAGCCCCAGGCTGTGCTCACCTGGGTGTCCTTGGTGTCACCCCACAGCCGCTCCGCAGCTTCCTGCAGCCTTGTGCACTGCTCCTGCAGCTGCCCCACCTGGACCAGCACCTCCCTGCTGAAATCCACCCCCTGAGGAGGATAAATGTGGCCCTGGGTGAGAAACAGGGTGGCTGCAGGACATAGGCAAGGCAGAGTATGCTTATGAGTGGCTCCAGTGGGTGGCTAGCAAGGACATCTCGGGAGATGCCCCAGTGCGTTCCCAGCAAGTGGGGTATGGGGCTGCAGCCCCCAGGCCCTTGGGCAGCCCCCCTGAGGCCCGGGCAGCTGGGTACCTTCTCTTCTCCATGCTGAAGGTGCCTCATCTCTCTTGGCACCTTCTCCAGTTGGGCAGCCATGTCCTCCAAGGTCCCTGAGTCAGCTGAAAACAGACACCAAAGCTTTGTTACAGGCAATGCCAGCTTCTGCAGGTCCCCAGCATGGCACCATCCCAAATCCAGATGGGTTTACAGCTGTGGAGACCCCCTAGAACTGCTGCCAGGCAATGCCAGCACGAGGGTGCCACAGAGGGCAGTGACCAAATCCCCACTAGCTATGCCAGTGTGGCTGGGAGCAAGGCAGAGGAACAAGGGGGCTGCAGTGGCTTGGGGACTCAGATGGGATGGCTTAGCGTGGCCCTACCATCCACCAGTCCTGGCAAAGGTCTGGTGGCACAACCTGCGAGGCGGCCCAGTATGGTGGGGATGTAAGTGCTCACTGTGCTGCTGGAGCTGGCTCTCGTGACAGCTGACGTGGGTCCCTGCTGCCTTGTGCTGCTCCAGCAGCCAGCTCAGCCTGCATGGGGCTTCATGGGCCAGCTCCTGTGAGGCCTTGGGCCTGAGCTGCTGGTTGGAGAGCTTCTGAAACGAGACAGCCCCTGAGATTCTGGGGAGAGAGAAAAGCCCTAATGCTATTCCAGAGCTGAGGGACATTGCCATCCCCCAGCAAACGAGCCTGGTACCTGGGAGCCTGCACGCACCTCACCAGCAGGCACCCTGCAGGGAGAGCTCCTGCGCAATTCCTGACGCACCTCCGCCTGCAACCGGGAGAGAAATCAACCCTTCTGCCCTGCTCTGGGAGGGGAGAGCCTGGGCAGTCCATGGGATGGGGAGGAAAACTCCAAACCTTGCCACCACCCCAATACCATCCTGTCACAAGCCCTACAGGTTTCTCAGAGCACTGCAGGAGGGACAAAAGCAGTGGAGGTGTCCAGGAAATTGAGGCACCCAGGTACAGATGTCTCTGCTCTGGTGGCCTGGAGGGTGACATGGACCCTGCCAGAAGAACCTTGCAGGGCCAGATGCTTGCCCAGGCAGGTTACTGCAGCCAGGGCAGCCCTTGGGAGGCTTGAGTGAATATTCTTTCAGGATTTGCCAAAGCCTGACCCTGGACACCTCGGGGACTGTTCCAGGGATTGGGTGCTGAGTGCCTCTGTGCATCATGCCACAGATGCTCGCTCCCAGTCCCTCTGCCAGTGCTCTCCACATTCACCAGTTGGTTCAGGATGCTCTGCAGGAGGTGGCCATGCTCATCCTGCCTCACCAACCGCTCTCGCGCTTCCTCCAGACCAGCCTGTTAAACAGAGGCATCGGGGGGTTCAGCATCCTCAGGGGTTGGGAGCGGTGGGGATCAGCATCAGCACAGACAGGCAGGGTTCAGCAGTGCCCAGCCTAGGCCAGGGCTGGGCTCTGTGGCTGCAGGCAGTGTCTATCCAAAACCCCCAGGCCCCAGGGCAGAATCCACATCTCCCAGCTTGGCTTGGGGTGGGAGGACACTCGAGCTCAGGACCTCATCCCTGTCACCCCATGCACCTGTGATGTCCATACAGGTCCCCAGGGAGCCCAACCCCTCTGCTGAGAGCTCTCCAGCAACTGTCCCAGCTCTCTGCACGCACCTTCTGGAAATTGTCCTTCAGGACCTGCAACTCCTCCTGGAAGCCCTCAACAGTGGTTTTCAGGGAGCTGATGGTGGTGAGCATCTCCTGCAGCATGTCTATGACCTGAGGAACACAGGCTTGGGCAGTGATCCTGGTGTCACCACGGGCTCCAGGGAACATGGAGAGAAGGGAGGCTAAGCAGTGCACAGCAAAGACTGGGGCTTGAAGATGTCTCTGGGATCCCACAGGGTTGCCACAGTATCAGCCACATCTGGCCAGCCCATGACCATGGCCATGGAGCTCCCCCAAACTGAAGTGAAATATGTTCAAAGGGGACAAGAATCTCAGCTCCCAACTTTCTTGCCCTGGAAAAGTGATGTCACCTTTTCCCTTTGCTCTGTGGTTGTGCTCAAAGCCAAGGTCACAACATGTGAGATGGGACTGGCCTAGGGCTGCCAGGTCTCTCGCAAGGGTTCAAAAAGTGTTGGGTTTGCTGTGGGCCAGCCTCATGCTGCTTGTGGAGACGACAGCAAGGCATAAGGCCACCCCAACTCATCATTGTGCTGCAACAGGCTGCTCAGGTGAGGAAGATGGCTCTGATGTTACATATTGTGTTTCCCACTCAGAATCTAAACTTGAACAGCCAAATAATGAACTTGTGCTGTGGCAATGTCTCCCACAGGATCGTGCCTTGGTATGGGGACAGCCTGCCTGAGAGGAAGCACTGCTGTCAGCCACAGCTCAGCCACTCGCTGTGACACAGGGAAGAGAGGGGCTGAGGAGCCTGCCAGGGAGGCTGCTGTTCTGCCAGGGGAGTGGGGGCTGTGTGCTCCAGCCCGGGGTGACTCCAGCCCCCAGGTAGAGCTGCTAGGGCAGGATGGGACCCAACAGTCCCAAATCTCAGAGCAAGTATTACTGGAGCCCCAGAGTCAGGTGACAAGTGACTGAAACCACATTTGGCCAGTGGCTGTGATAAAATACTGCTCTTTACAGTGGAGCTGGGGCCACTGGAGCCAGAAAGGTGCCTCTGCACTTCACTGGACTCCCTGGTCCTGGGGCTGTTCAAGTTTAGACTCCGAGTGGGAAACACAACACGTGACATGGGCATGTCACTGTGTGGGGCAGGACACCGCATGTGGCAGGATGATGTATCAGGTGAGAGACTGCATGGGGCAGGACACTGCAAGTGTTGGGATGCCACCCAGAGCAGTGCATCGTGTAGGGCAGTACATGGCATAAGCCAGGACAGTATGTAGGGCAGGGTGCTTGTGTAGGACAGGACAGTGCATGGGGCAGGATACTGTAGGGCAGGATGCCACGCGGGGAAGGCCGCTGCATGGGACAGGGTGCCACACTGAGCAGGACATTGTGTAGGGCAGCACATGGCACAGGGCAGGACCCCGTGTAGGGCAGGATGTGGCATGGGCACTGTGTAGGGCAAGACTAGCAAGCCAGCTGCCCAGCAGCAGCAGTGTGGCTGCATGACTGCATCCAGCGTGGTTTCTCACCTTCATCATCCCCTCCTTAGTCACTTCCATCCTCTTCTTCAACTGCAACATCTGCCACTCCTTGGTGCCTGCCCTGTCTGGGGCTGGTGGCTCTGCGGTGCCCGGGGGCTCGCTGCGGTAGCTTGGCTGCCCCTCCGCTCTCCCCAGCGACGGCCGCCTCTGCTGGTGGATGGAGCTGGGTTTCCCCCCGGCCACAGTGGCAGTGGGCTCCAAGAGACCCCTCTCATCCTCCCCGACCTGTGCCGTGGCCTCCTGCGGTTGGAGGTGCTCCAGGAGGCCGCGCAGGAGGCTGCGGACCAGGGGGCTGCCGCCGCTGGCTGTGCCGAAGGCCATGTCCGCCAGCTCTGCCAGCGTGATGGTGACATTCATGTTGCCTTCAGCCCCCCCAGCGGCGCCGCGGACGCTCTCGGTGGACCCGGGGCTGAGGTCACAAGGGACGTTACCCGGAGATGGCCCCGGGGTTCTGCCCCAGCAGCCTGGCGGGGGGCGCAGGCCCTG